ATCTACTCGTGTGATTAAAAATAAAAAAGTAAGTTGGCTTTAGAGTTCTATAATAATAATAATAATAAAAGGTAGGTTTAAGAGTTCTGTCTACAAGTTTGGTAGTTAAAAATGCATTATCTAATATACTAGTTTCAAACAATTATGGAGTAATTTCCAATGTTACAAAGAAATTTAGAATTTTTTAACATAAACGTAATTATACAAATTATGGGTTTTAAAAAAAATATATTTGAACATTCAGCCGTCCTGTGACGAGTTTGAGCACATCTAAGGGGTTTACTTTAGAGGTGTTCGCAGTGTGATTTGATTCGAATTTTATTATTTTTTAAATCAATTTAATTTAATCGTTAATAAAATTTTTAAACCAATCCAATCCATTATTACGTGATAACCAAACTAATTCAATTTAAATCGGATTGGTGTGGTTCAGTTGGATTGATCGATTTTTAACATTATTAAATACATAAGATAATATAAAAATATTTTAATATCAAATAAAAAATATAACTATAAAATACATTAATATCCAAATCAATAAAAATATAATAAAAGGTAAAAATTATAAATGAATTTTTATACTCCTCTATATTTGTAAAAATTAAAAAGTTCTGAAAATTCTTTTTCGTTATATCACTAGAGGCATAAAAAATAATAAAAAATAATTTCAAAGTTTTAGCACAGCATAAATAATTCTTGAAGGTTAAAATTTTTTTTTCTTAATACACTAATAATTTAATCACATTTTCTAAATTCTGTTAAAAGTAAATAATATTTAACATGAATATTACTAAAATTGATTAGAAGCATTCAAAATCAAAATTTAAAACTTCTAAACCAAATATCTAAGAATAGTTGAATATTAAAACTAATTTTATTATATGGTTTTAAGACTTTTAGAATAATACTTATTTAAAATTTAGTTAGGAAAATCATAAGATTATTTTAAGAATAAATTAGAAATTTAGGGTTCTAAGAGTAAAGGCGTAAACTAGTTCTGAGAAGTAGAGTTGCAGGTGAATTAAAAATTTAGAATTAAAGTTAGAGTGTATCATTAAAATGGAGAAATAACTTAGGGAATATGGAGATGTTCTATTCTTATTTTTTTAATTAAGTTAATGGAGTTATAATCTTGTAAAATAAAAAAAAAAAAATTTAAAATACTACAAAAAATATGTTATATTATTTACTGAAATTATATTGTAATCAGATTTTATTTTATAATCGAGCAGTTCGAGTAGTTTAAAAAGAAAATCACGAACCAAACCAATTATATCGATTTTAAAATTTTAAAATTCAAATTAACCCAATTTTATGACAATTTTGATCAGTTTTTGATTAAGTCAGATCAATTAGATTGGATCGGATCGGATGTGAACACCCCTAGTTCACCCCTATTAAGTTGGTCTATTAAAAAACTCAACTTTCTTAAATGCTGTCCTTAAGATTTTAAACCTTGAGAGTTGAGTAGTAATACTAGAAAAACGATCTTCCACAGGAACCACAAGCAAGAAGAAGAAACAAATTGGACAACCAACGTCTATTGCTATTGTCATTACCAAAGTATTGTGCTAAAATTTGAGACAGGTATCAGGCCAAAATGTTTGTGTTACCTCAACCCTGTTGTGTCTACAGATACATTGCTCTTAGAGCCATAAATATTTCAATCAATTCCATAACAAGTTATCCTTCTCTAACTATGGACTATTACATACATATTACATGAATGCTACAATGAGATGGCATGTCTTCAACACTCCCTGATACTAATTTCCACGTTTAAATCCCGAATCTCTGTGACACGGTGATGTTTCTCCAGCTGCCATGGAGTGACACATCTCCTAGATAATACATACCGTAACCAAGAATCGGTTTTTGTGGATGCATGCAAACAGGTCAACACAATTATTTTCTTCTATACACATCCTTGATCTGTCATGGCTTGAGCAATAGCCAGAAAACCAGAGATGACTGCTCCATGTACCAAAGCCCTGTTAAACAATAATGGAGTAAACTTGGGGGAGTGGAATGAAACAGCAAAGAAGCTTCTTTTTAATTTTCTAATTGCCATCATACTGCTAAAAAAGGAAAACCACTTACTCGGGATTTTCTTTTTGATAACCAAAATCATTTGCTGCCTTGAGGGCTCTATGGAATGTTTGTTTCATTGCTTCCTGAAATTGAAGTGAGAAGACCAGATTTGCCAGCAATTTTATTCCGTTGAAGTAGGAACAAATTTGTTATTTATCCAGTTAAAAAAGGGGGTAAATCTCATGTAAACCACAATGGATAATTTCAAAAGAATCTAACTCAAATTTGATTTTTCAGCATATTACAAACTCATTTGTGCAAATCACTCTAAAGTATTTCATTTTAGGAGAAACTGTTGTGCAGTCTGGACTGCACAACATCAATCGTCTGATGAGGAGTGGGCCCCCTGATATTGGGGGCCCTCCTCCCATCTGACTGTCCCTGTTGTGCAGCCCACTGCAGTCTGGACTGCAAAACAGGGAACACTTCAGTTTATTATAACTGAAAATAGACCACATGGAGTTCGAAACCACACAGCAAACAAGCTTGTTACAAAACTTGCAGCATTTTTTGATAACTAGAGCTACAAAAGGGATAGGATAAATGAATCTGTGGCTTCTAAAGATGCTAACAAACCATATGGAGTTTGAAAAGAGTCATGCAGATTAAAATAGCATTTGCTGTTTACTTGTTTCTGCAGACTAATGAATTTAGTTCTTAACTATCCTCCAACATGGTATAAATACCTGCAGTTTAGATTCAAAATCCTCTGGTGACCAATGCATCACATTACACTCATGGTTCAGCTCAATTTCTCCTGCAACAACCTACAAGAAAGCAGGCCAAAGAGTGAGCAAATCAGGTAAATGGTATGATTAGAAAATTAATCAAAACTAACATTAACGTGGATGAAAAATAATAGCAAACAATTTGGCTAACTCTGGTCACTAAGTAGCAATCAAATTGAATACTAAGACAGGAAGAGGAAAATTACAACTCAAGCAGTCTCGAAAGTTTTAAGGTAATCAATGGTACACGTGTTCTCAAGAAATTTCCAAACAAAGAATCCCAACATGTCTCTCATCCATATAATAAATCACACTTAGCTTCTAATTAACCTACACCAGCAGAAAAGAAAATATGATAACTAAACCTATGTGTAATTATCAACAGTAATTTCATCATGATACAAAGAAGGTATACACAGTCATGCACAAGGCAGAGAAAGTGAATGAATATCGCACCCCTCCAGCACCAGCAGCCATTGCAGGAGCTATGAGAACACTATTCTTTCTGAAAGTATCAACTGCTTGTGGAGTACATGGCATGTTCGAGCCTGGAAAATGAATTTAAAAAGTAAAAAATCACATGCAAAGATTCAAAAAGCTTATACTCATCATATCCCAGATTATTACCTTCTATAAGTATACGACAACCTGAATTAACCAAATTTGTGGCATCAGCCTGGTCGATTTCATTTTGGGAACCACAAGGAAATGCAACATCGCACCTTTCATTCCAAGGTTTTGCTTCATCATAGTACTTTGAACGTGCATAAGTCTTTGAATAATCTCTGCAAATGATGTATAAATAAAACTGCCCCCCAAAATACTACAGAGTGCCCTTAAAAAAAGAAAAAATGAAGAAGAAAAAAGGAAAAAAAGAGTAAGCAAAATGAGATTCGAGAGTACACACCTCAAACTTCTCTGTTGGGCTTTGATATCTCTCAAAAATGATATTTTCATGTAATCAAATCCATCTTCATCAACCAAATATCCTTTAGAATCTATGCAACATTTTGCAGGAGAATGCAAGTGTTTTAGAAGAATTAATCATATATCAAAGCAACTACTCAGTGAAAAAGACAGGAGAGAAAACATAAACTGTGTCAACCAACTTTTTTTATCTGCTAGGATAATTAACCAAACCATATCCATGATGTGGCAGCAATTTTGCTAGTTCATTTTTACCATGCATAATACTGCTGATAAATGGATATTCCAGTTATGGTAGAGGTAATACCACCATACCATTCAAAACTCCAGTTGAACCCAAC